GACAAGGCCTGGCAGAAACACTGAAATGATGTGTACACTGTAGTGGGACTGTGGGACTCGCCAACTCATTAGTCATTTTGCCTTTTCAGCAACTGCGGTCTGTTTAAATGGGAACGAGATGGGATGTTGAAGGTAAGCTGTTACAGATTACCAATTTAAAAGTTTAAAGCAACATTTGATTGAAACAAAGTAGACTGATCACACACTTGACGTTTCATTGCAGGAGAAAACTGGCCCTAAGCTTGGTGGAGAGCTCCTCCTGCCTCGAGGAGAGGAGCATGCCAAATTCCTCAACAGCATGAAGTGATTTATTATTGAGGGAGCAACCTATAGACTTTTATGTATGTAATTTAAGGTTTTACCAGGCTTTCATTAGTATCAGTTCTGTTTTTAAATTTTGACATTATGTAGCTCTTGAGTGTCTGTGGTGATACCAGATGTGCTGCAAATTGGCTGATTAAAGCTGATTAAAGATTTTATATGTACAGACTGTTTTTCCCTACAGGAGAAGGATTTTGGGGGGATTTATGTGCTCACCTATATTGGCACAGAAACGCCCTCTTAACACACTCCATATGTTGGTGCCAGGCGGAGCCAGGTGGCACTTACTCAATTCTTTGAGCCAATCCACATGGCTTTAAAGGTCTGAGGTGGAATCACAGTATAGAGATAAAATAAGCTTTTCTGGGGTTGAAGCTGTGTGATTACCAAGTGCAGAGTGCCATGCCACATCATTGTGAGGCTTTTATTTTTGCTCGCTATCCCGTCGCTGCTTGCCCCCCCCCCTTTCTTTCTCTTCACTGAGCCCTTTGTGTCTAATATTTCCACTCTGGAATGTGGGATCCATTTCAGGCTGATGATTTCTGCAGCTCACCTCATCTTTTATTCCAAACCGCCTTCCTCCCTTTAAGTAAAACTCAAAATACCAGACAGTGGAAGTGTGAGGAAAAGCACATCATTGGAAATTCATCTTTATTTGTCATTGTGACTTGGATATGAAGGACAGTTTGTTGGAAAAATTAAGCTACAACTCTTATCTGGCAAAACCATTTGTGTATAAAAGGTTGGTTCCTTGCCGCTAATACAGCACGTCAGGCTGAAACGACATTATATAGCTTCAATGTACATATAAAAAACCCAAAAAAGCATGCAAAATTTCTGCCCAACAATACAAAAGTTGATCTTTACAGTTT